GTTGATTGGGCAATCCCATAACTGTACAGTTTGTTATTAAATTCAGATTTTGTTGTGGTAGAAATTTTGAGGAAATCGATTGATTTAAGAGTTTGACAAAACTTTATTTCTTTTGCAAAGCTTTGGGGAACAGGCACTCAGCAATCTTTCATTCGTCTTGTGTTCTGTTCCCTGAACAACAGGTGCTTACATCTTTAATAGCCAAAAAATGTGGCAGCTTACAGACAGTTTAGGGAGGGGTCAGATATCTTCAGACACCAGTTACTTCTGTTAAGCTCAATACATTATCAGATAAAAAGAATTTGACCTTTTCATGATCACTTTTGTGATTACATCGTCTCCTTCAAAACATATTTGTCTCACTTCTCCATACGTTCCTTTAGTTCTCTTTTCCCGACTTTTGACTCCCAATTTAGACATTTTTCTTATAACTGTTTACTGCAGCAGCCTTACTTCTTGAATCAGATCAGTACCTTGACCTTTTGCAAAAAGTTTGTAATGCCAAAACATGTTAGTTCCCTTTACCTAAATGAAAGCCTATTATCTAAATGCAAGCTTGTATTAGGTTTAGCGTATTAAATGTATCAAATCATAATTCAGTCATTACATCATCATATCTGAATTAACAGTGTTGCCATAAATTTCATTATTAATTACTGATTGGATTAATATATGATTTGCATAATGTTTGATTTTTCTTCCACATTGTAAAATTATTCACTACTCACTCCTCATTTTTCCTGTGAACATACAGTTGCTGTGATTTACCAAAATGCTCCAGTTTAGCTTCTTCAGTCCAAAGGACATTCTTCCAGAACGACTGTGGCTTGTCCACATGCAATTTGGCAAACTCCAAGCAGGCTTTTATGTCTCAGTTTGAGAAGAGGGGTCTTCCTTGGTCTCCTGCCATGGAGCCCATTTTCATTCAAATATCTCCTGATGTGTGACTTGAAATGATTGTACTCTGGCTACATCTGCAGTAATACATTATTTTTGCGGGAGATTCCAAAGGGAAATATCTGCGTTTGCACTACCACTATCACTAGCGTTCACACTGCTCCGTGTGAAAGGCTAATGATGTAGCTCTGAGTGGTTGTTCATATTTTGTTTGCTGCAGCACATCGTGTCATTTGCACCTTTTTTGTCCAACCAAAATATTTTACAAATAAGTGGCAAAGTATATACTTTGAATCATTTATTTTGACTTTAATTAGTAATAAAATTCAGTTTTTATAAACACGTGACTGTTGATTAATCTCACACACAACCATGTGTTTAAAGTAAACGCATGTATATTATTTAGCAAAAGCGAAATATCACAGTACTGTAGTGTCGCAAACACAAAGCTGTACATAATAGGAACCATCACAGCAACAACACAGGGATCCAGAAATTTAGTCACTACTCATCTCGATCTCTTCCCCCCAGTTCCAGTGCACTCTGATGTTCAATGTCTATCATAAGCTACAGTTGCACTTAACCTTGGCTCAGGTATAGTCTTGTTTTGAACTCCACAATAGTTGTAAACACCATACAATGTACACAGAACATGATTTAGCTGCACACAAATAAGCAAAACAACATATGCCAGGTAGTGAAAGCCCTGTACATCCTCCATGTTCACATGAAATCAAAGGCGAAGCATTCTTCATTCCCTTGAAGAATAACCAATCAGGAAAAGATACATCGAAACAAAGAGAGCTAATCAGAAAAGGGTCGTGAGCTAAGTATGAACCAATCGGAGTTCACTGATGTAGGCGCAACAAATTTGAATAATGCGTTTACAGAAAGATTAGTTATGGGAGAGCGGTGAAATTTTTCTCCATTTCTGGGGAAAATAAAATCCATGGTAGTGCAGACAGAAGGTTAAATCAGAAGAATTTTTTTGAGTTACTAAACGAAAACGTATTAGTGTAGACAGAACCTGAGCTTGAAACTAACCTTGGATTTGTTTAGAGGTTTTTCTTGGTTCTTTCTCCACCATTTGGAGTAACATCCTTGGGTCAAGTCTCCTCTTGTGATGCTACTATGACCATGGTGTCAAGAGCAGTCCCCACCCTGCCCTGCCGTTCGCCTCGGCTTGGCCAGCAGGTGTCGCTAACCATCCCATTCCTAGCGTTTTGTCCTGAGTGTTTAGTGATAAGGACTTTCACCTGTGTCTTGTTCCCAGCCCTAGTGTTTAGTTAATTGATATGACCTGCACCTGTCCCTTGTGTAGCCCTCGTTACAGGTGGGGCGTAACTTCTGGGGGGGGGGGGAATTCAAAATCTGGTGACCTGGTACAGGCAGAATAATCTGGAGCTGTAAAGACAGTGGAGATGGTAGTAGACTCCAGTGCCACCGCCCCCCACCATTTTGTCTTCTCTCCATGTTTATTGTGATACAGGAGAGTGAGCCATTGCCTCCGTTTGAACAGGCTGAATGAGGGATTAGATTATTGAAAATTTATGTGGGACTATTTAAGGGAGAAAAATTGCTTGAAAATGTCTACAATGCATTTTCCCCCCTAACTTCCCAATAAAATTGTCCTGGCCAATTTCAGGATGTCTCTGTAGTACAAGCACAAATTCACCTCTCTTTGCAGCTTTTTAAGTGAAATGAAGTGAAACGTTGTCATTGTTGACACACTGCAGCACACAACAACAAAATATGTCCTCTGCATTTAACCAATATGTAACATTGTGACACAGCAGGGGGCAGCTAACTCAGCGCCCGAGAGGCAGTGCTTGGGAGTGATACTTTGCTCAGGGTACCTCAGCAATCTTTCCATTACAAGTGCCCTTCCCTAATCATTAGGCTAACAGTGCCTAACCACAACTGCCTAACAGTGTGGTACCTCTGTATGGGTGACAACAGATGTTTCATTTTCCATATATAGGATATTCTCTTCCAAGCCTGCCCGTAATCTTTCAGCTACTCTACACCCCTCTGCAACCATATAGAAAGAAAAGAAAGAAAATTAAACCAAGGAAGTGACTGAATAACTGGAGAAGTTGAATAGATACCTTTTTTCTTCCACAACGGCTTGCCGGCTGATCCTGGGATTGCAAGATAGGTGAAAAATAAGCAAGCAAACTCTGATGACAAAACTAGCCTGTACCTTGCACGTATAAATCTAACTTCTGGCACATTTTCTTTGCAAATCACGCAAAAAGGAGCTGAGCTTTTTGTGTGTGAGAGATGACAGCCTGCGAGACACGGCAGCGAGGATTTCTGCTAGTCGGCATTAGCAGGAAAATGACCTGCCTGGTAGCAGTGAGAGAGCAGGAGGGCAGGCTCTGTAAAAACTGCTGGAGCTTAAAAGTTTGTGAGTCACTATGGTCTTTACGCCTTTTAGTGGCTTGTTTCACTACACCATTCATTTCATTGAACAGTTAGGACAAGGTTGCTGTTGAGTCCTGTGAGAGCAGGTATTACCTGTTAGGGATGCAACTGTAGCCTCTTCTTACTCTAAAACGATTCAGCTTCTCAGCTTCACCTTTTCTTTGTGATGACTCAGGTTAGACTCTCTCCTTGCCAGCTTTTGCAGTTAGCTGACCTCTGCCTTTCATGTTGCCATCATGATTTTTTTGGACACCTGCCAGGGTTCATAAAAACCAAAGCAGCATGAGTTGTTTCAGGAAGTTATCCTGTGCTTGGCTGTTAACTTGTTTCAAACCCAGCTTCTGGGGAAGGCCATGGATCAGGACATACTAAATGCGTCACTATTGTCAAGATACAGGATTGTAATGAGCCAAGGGACACAGTATAACTATCTGACACTCCTAAATTGGGGTGTAGGTATTAAACATAATCTGGGACTGCTTATGCGCATATGTGTAATGTAAATGTCAAGGATTTCAAGTATAAACAACATTATACGCATAACAAACACTGAACATTTACAGATACATCCAACCTGAGTAACTTAAATGCTCCTACATACTCCAGAAGCACAGAAGTAAAGGGGCAACATGTGGTTAATGAAGAAATTTATAACCCAGAACAAAAGAAGTCGTGCTACGTGTACAATAGACTGGCTTCCCACACAGGGTGTCCCCCTGCTCCTGTAGCCCTGTACAGCTGGGAAAATGGGCAGATGGATGGATGGATGGATGGATGGATGAAGCATTTTAATCATTAGTTAATTTTTTTAAGCCATGGACACTATATTGATAAAAATAAATATATTAATTAATTAATAGATGGATAAACAAATATCTTAGAAGAAAATTAATAAGATAAAGAAGTAAAAATATGACAGGTGCTTTTCCATGGGGACTAAAATAATTGCTGCAGCCATTATTCATGATTAAAGGACAGGATTAAAGGCCTTTCTGTTCAGGCAATCTGCAGTGATAATGAGAGTGGAAAGATTCAATTCAAACTTTATCAGAGTAGCAGCGTAACTGGATTTAAACATCAGCATCTGACAGCTACCGGAAGAAGGTTTGTCTTCCCTGTTTACTCCATGAGGCAATTTAAATGTCAGGCAAACATAATATAGTGTATACTGCTCAAATGATTTTAGTTTCTACATAAAAGCTTTTTATATGGAAGGGCATATAGGCAAAATGAAACATAAATAACATTTAATCTTTTTGCCTTTGTGAAAAAGAATAAAAGAGTGCACATTAAGCCATTAAACTCTGGTGCAAATCTTTTGTTGCCCAGTCTTGTGTATAAACTTGTAAGCATTGCTAGATCGTACTGGCTGTTTGACCATCCATGTATTAAATGTCACTTTCTACTGTTCTGCTCCCTTAACACCAGCCTTTCCATTAATACTGCTGGGAATGATAATATAATCCAACACAAAAGGTGCAAAGGCTAAATTAACCCAAAACTTCTGAATGCCACTTGTTACATATATCATGAATATATTTCAGAGTAAATACTTTAAAATAGATATGCTATATACATATGTAGGAAATGCCAATCAGATTTGCTATGCTTCTTTACTTGTTGTATACCATTTTTAAGAAGACATCACTTCATTACTGTTGTCTCTTATCCCGCAGGTCCTGGCCATCATATCCATCCTATTCATCGTGCTTTCGACGATTGCCTTGTCCCTGAACACACTTCCCGAGCTGCAGGACATAGATGAGTTTGGCCAGGTAACAGACAACCCCCAGCTGGCTCACGTGGAGGCTGTTTGCATTGCCTGGTTCACCATGGAGTACCTGTTGCGCTTCCTCTCTTCACCCAACAAGTGGAAATTTTTCAAGGGGCCCTTGAATGTCATAGACTTGTTGGCCATCCTACCATACTATGTCACGATCTTCTTGACGGAATCCAACAAGAGCGTGCTACAGTTCCAGAATGTGCGACGGGTAGTGCAGATCTTCCGTATCATGCGAATCCTTCGCATCCTCAAGCTAGCACGACACTCCACTGGTCTGCAGTCTCTAGGCTTCACACTGAGACGTAGCTACAATGAGCTAGGCCTACTCATCCTCTTCCTTGCCATGGGCATCATGATTTTTTCTAGCCTGGTGTTTTTTGCTGAGAAGGATGAGGACGACACCAAGTTCAAAAGCATCCCTGCCTCCTTCTGGTGGGCCACCATCACCATGACAACGGTAGGCTACGGGGACATCTATCCAAAGACCCTCCTGGGAAAGATTGTTGGTGGCTTGTGCTGCATTGCTGGAGTACTAGTGATAGCCTTGCCTATCCCAATCATTGTGAACAACTTCTCTGAATTCTACAAAGAGCAGAAGAGACAGGAGAAAGCCATCAAACGAAGAGAAGCTCTGGAAAGGGCCAAGAGAAATGGCAGCATTGTGTCCATGAATATGAAGGATGCATATGCCCGCAGCACTGAGCTCATGGATGTGGTCATTGAGAAAAATGGGGAGAACATGGGGAAGAAGGAGAAGGTGCAGGACAATCACCTATCGCCTACACGACTGAAGTGGACACCAAAGCGCACAGCCTCAGAAACAAGTTCAAACAAGTCACTGGATGGGAAAATCTCTGGCTCCCCAGACAAGGCCCGGCCATGTAGTCCACAGAACCTCAGTGTACAGAAGCTCGAGGAAATGTATAATAAGATGGCCAAGACTCAATCACAGCCCAATCTCAACAGCAAAGACAAAGGCTCATCGTTAAAAGCTGCCAAGCAGAAAGATGAAATTGAGATGAGCAACATCCTGGGCAGGGCTGACCCTCTGCTGACCACACCTGCAGGCATTGTGGACATGAGGAGCATGTCCAGCATCGACAGCTTCATTAGCTGTGCCGCAGATTTCCCAGAGAGCTCACGCTTCTCGCACAGCCCTGTTGCCAGTGGCTTAGTCAGTACCAGCTCCAGACCTGAAACCACCCTGGAACATGAGCCTATGCTATCTCCCCGCAACACAAAGTCACACAAGCTTGGTTCTATTCAAGAGATAAGTGCCAAGTGTGAGGGCTCTCGACACAACATTTTCTCTGAAAGCCCACGTGGTCTGTGCCTTGGGAACCCACTCAAGACCCGTTCCCTGAAAGTCAATTTCAGGGCTAGGGACACTGGCCCCTCTCCTTTGGCACAGGGGACTGGTGCAGCTCAATCTGAAAGCTCGGCTTTCTCAGATCAGTCGCTTTTGAGTCCTGAAGTGTCTGTTTACACAACAGCCAGTAGTAAGACTCCACCCAAGTCCCCAGAGAGTCGCATGCCTACAGTCTTCACCTTCCATGACGCATCAATCAGCAAGTATATTGACGCTGACACTGACGACGAGGATCACCTACAAGATGGATCTGAATCTAGTCCCTCAAAGAGGCTGCTGAAGAGCACTGGTCCAAAGTTCAGCATCAACAGCAACTATCAACGGGGGGCCAACCACCTGGAGCTTTCCCAGAGGGTGCTGGGTCAGAACTGTGTCCTCCCATCAGAGAATCGCCTGGGCACAGGGCAGGAGAACCACGTGACTCAGAACGTGCGGGTTCCCCTGAAAGAAAGGTTCCGCTCCAGCAGCTACGACGAGAGCATCTGAAATTCAGGGGATCTGGGCCAGAGAACAGGCTGGAACAAAATGGGGTGGGAGGGATGAGCAAGTGGAATGACATAAAATAGACATATGAAACACACCAGGCGCTTTATTGCATGTCACATCAAACTTCTGACTAAGACACAGGCATAGCCAAGGTTCAGATACTCTCTGCTTTGACTGGTGGGGGCTTTAGAAGTTGCATGAGAACCTTCCCTCTCCAATATTCTCCTGCTCCGCCTTATGGACAGAGCTGCACAGCCTGTGGAGCCATATAGCAGGACCGGGCAGGATAGGATGGCCAGAGCACAAGGTCCATGAGAAGGGAATAGAAATAGGAGTGTCGCTGCGCTCAAAGGGAATGCGTTTCACCCTGAGATGGCTCAGTAAGCCTTAGTCTGCTGAAGCCCATGCCACACCTTAGCTTAGGCACAAATGATAGGAGACTGAGTTTGATGCAATTGTGATTTACTTTGTAGGTTTTTTTTGTCCTAAAAACTGGCCTTAGTTATATGTGTGCGTGTATGCATACAAATGTTTATTGTGTGTCTGTATGGATATATCTGGAGATATTTCAAGATATATATTCCAATATTCATATAAACACACCTCAACATGAATTTTATCATTAATTTAACCTTTTAAATTTAATTTCATGAAAAATATAAGATAATCTATAGCAAAATCTGCTTTCATTGCCTGTTTTTTCATGACTGTTTATGTAAGTAGAATTATGTGTGCTGTTATCATGAAAGAGATCTGTGCTGTGACTAGGTACAAATGCTCATAATGCTCACATTCGATTCTTACCATGTGTGACATCATCAGTATGATGCTTCTCAAATTCTGGGTACACAGTATATGCACCTTTCACCTGTTTCAGTGTTTTCATCAGTCTCACTGGGAGTCAGGACGAAAGGCCTACAATGGCTTTTGTAAGGTTCCTGAGATTCTGAACTTTATCTGCATTTTCCAAATCAAGGCTCTCAGCCTTGCATGGAAAAAACAACGCTTAAAAAAAGCACTGAAAGAATTCTGATTATCAAAGCACTTAGCACTGATTTAGGACAGCAGACGAGTTATATAAAATAGTATATCAGGAATAATTTAAATTATATAAAGAGAAAAACATCATATGATTATTACTTTGAGAACTTGAAGAAGAGGACAGATTTATGTTTAGAAAAAGTATCAAAATGTATATTTTTGAACTATTTTGTAAGGACCAGGAGCAATTATCAGAAATTGTGAAATCATACTTATTAATGTAAAGAGAAAATGACTTTATGTTGTTCGCCATCATCTTCTGTCTCACATTAATCTGCTTTTTTGTGAAGAGCCAAAGAGATTTTCTTTTCAGCTGGATTGGGAGAGCGGCAGCAGCTAGTTATGTCTGGCTCTAGGGTAACGTACACGGATACACAGACTGCAACATGAAAACTTCTGTCTGGCAACTCCAGAGCAGCAGAGGAGGAGAGAAAGGAAAAGCAGAAGTGAAACAGTGGAGGGTCTGCATTGTATCTCACAGCCAGAGAGTAATTCAACATTGCGCTGGATGCAGTCCACATCGAGGACTGCGGAGGGAAGATCAGCCGACAGCTCCTCTGGACCAGCTTACTCTTCCTTATGTGCAGAACACGTGTATATATGTACACACTCTCACATGCATGCGTGAGCACACAAACACACGCACACACATTTCCTTCGACTGTATCTGATCATGTAAACATCATGACTATCCCAAATTCTCATGCACTTTATAAGAACTTTACTTTGATATTTCTAAAAGAAATGTATGTAGCAGCTCATTTGATGCACAGAGACATAATCTTAAAAAGAAATCGTGACCTCAAGGTTTATTTTTCCGCATATTTTTCTATTTCTGTTGTACTTCTGTGCTTTGGTGTTAAAATAGTACAGGAGATATTTTGTGCCTTGTGCTTCAAAGTCGTGATGTTTTCCAAACAAACAAATGTGTCATGTTCCTTGCAATCAGCCTTCACATTAGGAAGCCCGATTTGCAATTAAAAAATACATCTCCTCAAGCGAACACCAATATGAATGAAGGGCAGCCGGTAATGTTCTCACAATCAATCCCAGGCAAAACGACCCACCCAGGTAGAGGAAAATATGCAAAAGCCAGTTTAGTTTCCATGGCAACCTACAATGGCTCGTAGTCACGGTGACAGTCCTTCCCAGTGCCCGTCCCTGTTATTATTCACCTGATTCACCGACTGGCGCCTCAAGTGTCTTATTTTCACACGGCATCTAATACATTACTGCAGACTTACAGGCAAATCCAGAAATGCTTATTCACCCATGAGGTTCAGAAACACACATTACTCTGCAGCCAGATCTTTGGAGTCATCGTGAGTTCATGATGGCGGGTGAGGTGGAAGCAAGAGGAAGCCCCTACGATGATATCTTGGCACCCCTTCCAGAGTGGTCCCCATTTTCCGGGGGCGGAACTCCACTGCCACAGTATCCAGGCACATGGAGTTTTCACTGTTTATCGTGGCATCAATAAAACATGCAAAAGGAACATGTCTGTTGAGCTCTGAGGTCTAAGCCCTCTTGGCTGGAGATGAAAGGTGTCAGAAAAAAATGTATCTTCCCCTTCACACTGTCACTCGCTGGTTGTTTCACATCTGATGCTTTAGCTGCTATATTTGAATCTGCCATCGTGGGTCTTGTTTACACAGGGCGGAGCACCATCGACTAATAGGGAAAAATGTCATTACACTTAACAGGATTAACATGCAATTCAATCTCTTTGGTTTGTATTTAAACACTGCATGCATTTCTGGCTTATTCCATTCGACCTGCTCAAAGCTCCGGCCACATTATAATCCGTTCAGGTTCCACGGCCCCAAAGGAAGGAGAAGCTAACAAAGATGAAGATAATTGCCATCATTCGCCAGTTTTTGATAATTATGTGTATGTGTGTGCTGTTTCCTCCACAAAGAGCAGAAAGACTGTAAAGTCAGCTTTTGTGTCTCTCCATCTAATAAGCCATCTTTTCTATAAATACCAGCATGTGCTGGCAGGAAGAAGGATTACACCATTGAGATGGGTTTGGTTTCACCCCTGCCTTTGGTGGTGGCTGTCTCTGAGCTCTTGAAAATTAAACTTTTGTCAGATGCAAAATTTGGCCCGGTGCTTGAGTTGGAAGAGGGAGAGGTCAGCAGAACAGAAGGGAAAGCTCTGTGGTGTAAACACATCTGAACCACACCTTCTTTTTTGTCATCAATCAGAATTAATGTATGTCTAGCCCAGCACACGTTCCCTTAACACATAGATAAAAAGACCATGCTATTTAATTAATAATATAGATAATTTTATTCAAAGTGATGTACAGTTGAGAAAGTTGGGTCAGCCAGTCCCGGGTGCAACTGGAGTTAAAGGCCCCACTCAGGGCTCCAGAGGTGACATCACAATGCTGGGCACAAGATTTGAACTGGCAGCCTTCTGGTCACCGGTACAGAGCCCCTGACCCTCAGAGCCACACAGCACCTCATTAACATACAGAGCAGGGACTTGGAATTTAGTAAAACCTTTAAAAAATCCGTTAGGTTTAACAAGGGATCAAACAGTGTTTTCTATATGCATCTAAAAAAATATTCCTAATGCATGATTTGATATTTGCCGCTTGTCTGCCTTTACATACAATTTTTCCCCATGTTCTTGTCACTGCTATGTGAACAGAGAAGATCAATACTATTTTCATTGGTGTTTAAAGCATAAAATGTATAAGCCATCTATTACTGGGTGAGGTGATGCGGTGTGATGGCAATCAGTGTGCTGTGGCGAGCCCTGGCTGGAAGGCGATGACAGACAGGCAGCCGCCCTGCTGCGCCTTCCCCTTCCTGCTGCGCCTTCCCCTTCCTGCTGCGCTGTGGCCCACACAGCTTCACACGCGCTTTCACACACTGCTTCGTCACGCTCCAGGTAAACACTGTGCTCCAGGTAGACAAGTAGGCGAAACAGACCCAGTTTGTGAGTCAAACAAAAATTACAACAGTTAATTCATTTTTTACGTCATCTGCTTCCCTCCTCCCACATGAAACGTTCCTAGCTAATAATGGACTGTGACAATGATGCTGCTCCTTTGGAAGATATTTTCTTGATGCCTGTTTGATTGTTTCTTTTATGGGCACTTTATATTAGTCAGCAATATCTCTCTCCTCAGATGAGCTCAGCGTCTGGGCATTTCCTATCTTCATTAGTGCACAAGACCGATGCATTGTTTCTCAAAAAGGAAGCAGACAGGCGCTGAAATGTTATATTTTAAGCAGAAAGCACAATCCTTGTGACTCGCTTTATTTGGTTTATTTGTTTTAGTAAAAAAAAAAACTGAATAAAAAAAAGGGGAGCAGCCAAATGTGACGTATATTAATTAATGACACATTTATCTTACCCACTAACGGCCATCTCTTACAGAGACTCCACCCACCTGCTCGCCCACAATGTCGTTTGTCAGTATCAAGGTTGTTTGTTTTGTATGGTTTCCTACCTTGTTTCTACCTGTCGACTTTCTAAACGGTTATTTCTGTACGGTGTCACGTCTGTGGATGCATGAGATGCTTTAGGTGGCGCCACCTACAGTTCCCATACTGTCCTGCAAAGAAAATGTCTAAATGTCTGAGGGACTTTTTATTTCTTTCTAAAGTGATGTTTTCCCCATGGCCAATGGAAGATTAAATAAAAGATTCAAATTATTCTTTCTGGCTGTTTTTTTTTTTGTTTCTTTTTATTTGCTGGGGCAGATCTATCTGATAGCACACAGCTGCAGCTGTCCAAACAGCCGAGAATGCCAGAGCACACTGCACATATTCTGGCCAGGAAAAAAATGTTTTGCACAACAAACGCAGTTATCAGATGCAAATGGATTTCTAACCTCCATGAAAGCTGACATTCTGATGTCAAGACTCAATACTGCCCTTTTCAAATTGCCAAAAATACACACCTGTCCCTGCAGAAAGATTAAAAGTGTCATTTCTGTACCTGCTGCGAAGTGCTCAAGAAATAGTGAATATGTGTTGTTACTGTCACCTTCTTGGGTTAGCCCATCTGACCTTTGGCTCAGGTCTCCTGGAGTGCATTGCTGTAATTGTACAAGATCTGCATGAGACAGTCTAGCATCTTTTTTGTTCTCTGCTGACTTCATAGTGGAGAAGATGCTCACTTGCAAATGGTGGCAAAGAACACAGGACTGCTCTGATCCACAAGCTATCCCAAGCTCAGGACATAAGGCAGGGTACATGCTGGCGGGAAGCCAGCCCACCACACGACATTCACATAAACACAAACTCAAGGCCACACACAAAGAGCGATTTGCAGCAGAGACGGGAGCAATAATGATTCCAAAGTCACATTGTCTCACATAATCCCATGTCCTCAGATACCTACTGCCTTATTCCATTTCTCTGTTCCATTCTTATTCGGTTAGACCAACCAAAAGTGACAGTTTAATCCCATCAGTGTCCCAGCCCTAAAGGTTCAAGGCACTATATGCTGTATGTTACATGTCAGCTAAGTGTCGTGCCTTTTTGACTCATTCTAAAGTTGGCCACTAGCATCTATATATATGCATGGACAGGTCCTTTGAAACTCTGGACTTAAATTCCCCACACCAGCAGGGATAGAAAAAGCTACTGACAGGCCTAAGATCTGCTGACACACATCCGAAGAGTCGATGCTCCCTCACAGCCCGCAGCTGGAAGCACCTACAGCGTATTATAGACAGAGGAGACAGACAAGGAGAGACAAATTCAAAATATATTTTATAAGTGATGTCAGCAGGAACAAACTATGTGAATATGCTAAATTATATAATTTCCCATCGCACCAGAATCCGAACCTGGTAAGACATCTGTCAGTCTAGTGGCCCCACCTAGTGTCGAACTCCAACACCAACTGAAGAAATTTTCCCAGCCCACCATTACATATAAATGATTTGGACTGTTTTATGTTCAAAACAGAATTGCTTTAGGTTAATATTTATATGAAAGAGTGTTCCGTAGAAATTGACTCAATGGCCAGAACCTGTCATAGACATGATCGTGTCAAAAGCAAACCCTGACACAATTCAGAGATTTGAGTGGGTGCTTATAATACAATTCAAATACCAACCAGGTATCTAATATTCTGTATGTGACACATAAATCCTTGTTTTAAGGAGCTGACTTTTCTGCTCTCAGCAAGGTTTTAATGATTCATTGATGCCTTCCAGCCTCAAAATGTGCCATTCAAGGTCTTGGCGACTCATCCTGCGCGTAGCCTGCAGATAATCTATGATCGTCTAACTGCTTAAATTATACGCTAAATGACACAGTGCCAAGTAGGTGGTCCTGTTGTGGATACAAACTCCACACTGAGAGTGTGCTTTTTTGGCCAAATCGACATCTCTAAGTGTTAGTGCCTTGTGACAGACTGTCATCCTCTGCCTTGTACTTCCTGTGATATCATCCAGATTCAGAAAATACAAACTGCTGTACTTATGAAAAGTACCATTAATCATTTATTAAACCAGCAAACAGAATAATCTGTATTTAATATAGATTATTTAAATGGTGCCTTTGGTTCAACATAATAACAATGACTGAAACAATGTTATGTTTCATGTGATTTCAATTATATGATTTATTGAATCAGTTAAGGCATATTAATTAAGGTCTCATTTGAAATAATGGCCTTTACACCCAGTGTACTACCAGCACAGGGACTGAGAGGCACTGCAATTAAAAACACCACTGGCTATTAAAAAAGTTTCCCATTTTACTGGGAATTATAGTCCAAACCATCTTATCATTACAAAATAATTTAAAAGCACAGCTATTTTTAAACCAGGCCTATTGATTTGACTCATTTGGTTGCAAAATACTCATTTGAATAAAGAATAGTTTATTGAAAAATCTGCCTGAGAATTACAGTTATCTATATTTTAGTGCTGAGCCTTTTCTTCTATAACGATATGTTACTTCTGTAAAACTGGAGTGATTTTATAATCAAGGTGACTAAAACACCTAAAAATATCTTGGAAAAAAACATCTAGCCATGGGGAAATTATGTAAGAATCCAGCTGGGGCTTAATCCCTTCGTGCTGCACTGCAGGGAACCGGCAAGTAAAACAGAATTCACTGTTTTCATACCTCTGTCATCTTGTTTTCCTGTTTATTTTCAGTCATAAACAGGAAGTTTCATAATTTAGCAGAAAGTTGTGTTATGGAATTTTCAGTAGTTACTTTGGCTACTTCTTTATAGACTCAATATAGATGCCCCTCCACCCAGCCCCCAGTGGGGATGAGCTATAGGCAGGGGGGGCTGCTGTGATGAGGCCAGGGCCAGATGCCCCTCCACCCAGCCCCCAGTGGGGATGAGCTATAGGCAGGGGGGGGGGGCTGCTATGATGGGGCCGGGGCCAGATGACGACATGGAGAGACTGTACAGTAAGTCATAAAAGCCCCATCAAACTGCTTTGAGGTAAGTTCTTGAAGAGTACTGCTACAACCCCGGTCATCATCAACCCCGGTCATCATCTACAAATGTTTTTAGAAATTAATTTGTTGATGCTGGTGGAAAACATAACACTCGAGAATCTCCCATCCATCCAACATTCATCATGACTCACATCCGGTTCTTCAAAACATTCAGTGACCTCTAGTACGCTATGGATGAAGACATTGTTATTCCAGAAGATTCAACAGGGAAATGCAACATCTGATCTTATCTGATCATTCAGAATTATTTGTATTCACCTTGTGCTTTCAGCTATTGAGTGAACGTGAGTCATGTGTGAAAAATGTATCATATCCTGAACCAAAACAAAGGCCACTGGGGGCACCATATTATTTTCAGGGGAGGGGCATGGGGAGAGGACAACAGCAAAATGAGGGAGGGGGAGTCTTAAGAGGATTTTTCTGCTAAGAGCACAAAACACTACCATATTTTCTTAAACTGCACAACAATTATTATGATTTGTATATATTCATGCAATTTTGGGAACTGGTAAAATTATATTTATTTTATATATTTTTAGGGGGACACTGCCCCCCCCCCCAGCCTCCCCATTGGCTCCATCACTGACAAAGCCCCCAGAATCCACCAACATGAGAAATGAGCACGAGCCTATAAACTTCATATAATATCATTAACACGTACAAGAGTGTTGACTGTGATGTCAATAAATTAGACTGGATGGAAATAGAAAATATACATTTTACTTCATTGTTTTATTTTACGTGATAGAGTGACAGGTTGACAGAACAGGATCTGTCCAGATCTAACGGAAAAGTGCCTATATTGAGAGAAAGGCTATAAATAATACATAAAGGTCATACACTGGATGTCTGTAAATTAAAACTATGACCAAAAAAGGACCACCAGTAAAACTGACAGCCCTTAATATATATGCATTTACATGCATTGCAATGAAAGAGCAATATAGCCATTTAGTTGAAAACAGAGGTGGTGATATAGTAGCGTTACAAGCCATCATTTACAGTGCCTGACAAAAGTCTTGTCGCTTAACCAAGTTGTAGGAACAACAAATAATAACTTGA